GGGACTTTCCTGGAAATTAAGCTTGGTCAAATTTATTCTCACCCTTAAAGGGGATATATTAGGGAAATGTTCACGAAAGTTAATTGAAAAACGTTCGATCGAAAGGGGAAAAAATATATATTGGTGGGTCGGAATGCTCTCCAAGGCCAAGTACTGACGAGAATCGTGAGAGAACGGAATTCACATAAAGGTTGATTTACAATTGATAGAATCGAACCTTGCAAAATAAAGAGTATAGAGCAGGTGTATTTTATTTATTTTTTTTCGTGAGAATCGCGGCAGAACTCATTTTTAAGACACGTGCTACATTGATTCTGGCAGAATAATCGGGAAAAACTATTAAAAAAAACTGCGGATCGTCCGAATGTCTCTCAAGGTCAGAATCTAACCATAATATTCGATGCGTGAGAAAATCAATTTCGCGAGGATGGGATGGAATCGAGTAATTAATACCGAAATATCTGAATCCAGGTGAATAAATTTTACGGTACTGTATAAAGAAATCAACTGCTGCTCGTCCTTGTTTGACGAATCAAGAAATTTCATCCCGAATCATGAAGATCTGATCCCCATCATGAAGGCTCATATATTTGATTTTTGAAAATATTCCCAAAACTTCCGAAAAAAAAATGGGGGAAGAATTTCTTGGCGCATTTCGCTTCTTTTTGATGTTTGCCATCATAAAAATATAAATTGATCTTATGTATTCACGAAAAATTTAATTATTTTTTTAATGTAATTAATCCAATTGAAATTTATTGTGATTTGTGAGCAAGATTCCTGCTGAACTTCGCGTAAATTTGAAACTTTTTGCTCAAATGAAAAACACGAGAGATTCAGATACGTGTCTTTCCAAATGTAAATTATACCCAAAGCCGAAAGTGTTTTATTATGGTTATCGAAAAAGGCCATGCCAAATTTTTTAAACTTTTTGATGCAGCATTTAGTGGCAATATATTAACGAAATGAGCTAAAAATGATGTAATGCACTTGATTGAGATCAAATGGGATCTGAGTGATCAGATTAAGTTTCCATTGTTACTTTTATAATTAAAACCTCTTTTGTCTAAATTTCTTTTAACTGAACTTTTTTTACCTGAATTTTTTTTCCTCGGAGGCACTTATTTATAGAATTTTCTGAGAAAGTGATGTTTCTTCGAAATCCTGCATCGAACAAGAAAAAGCATGTGTGAAAAGTTTTGAAATTGGAAAAGTTTCGCTTTCATAGACTTCGAAATTCAATTCCTCGAGAATGATGCGTTGCTTTCTAAAAAAAAAAAAAAAGATTTCAGATTCGATCGTGGCAATGAACGCTAACTAGTGTCGACGAGTGTATTTTGACCTAAGGCTCATAATGTGCTCAAAGATGTTTACCCTGTTCTTTTGGGACCTGCGCAAAACACGGGCCCTTCAGCTTGGGTACTTGTAACTCCCCGACGACATTCAAATGACTGCACTTGCTGTCAGGTACGTGGCTTCAATTTTCCCCATCATCTTTTTTTATATTAATAAATATTCATTGATTGACACTTTTTTTGGGAAAATATATATATTCGGGATTGCGATAAGAGTGGAATATTTGGAGCAGCAACGTGTAGTGGAGCAAACTTGGGGGAAGCCCATGGAAAGGGTTCGGATCCGTCGGGACTTCGTCGAAGGCTGGGATCCGAGGATTCATCTTTTATGTCGACCAGGACAATTTGACATTTTATACAAACCCAGCAGGGACAAACACTCTGGATCAGCGACACCCTGAATCCCAATTTCTTTTTCTTTCTTCTCAATAACTTAATAAATAAATAAATAAATAAAAAGCACAGAACGAACAACAGCCAACATTTTCTTTCATTTCTCCTCTCGGCACATTGAGAACAATAAATAGTAACTTTTTGAGAATGGAATGCCTGTGTGGATGACGCGAGGTATGAACTGTAACGATTTTTTATAACGCTTAAGCTGCGTCTTTACAACCGTCGCTTGAGAAAAAAAAATATTTACTTTAAAGATTGCAAGAGTGTCGTCTACAGTTGTGCATATACTAGTATTTAAGGCTATACACTTCTAAAGTTTCTCTGAAGCCTTTTCCCGAGATATATAATCTCAGATTGATGTTTTTTTTGTCACACCGGCAAAATTCAGAGGATATCAGTTTACCTGATGGAATTGTGGACATCCAAAGAAAATTTCAATTGAACGCGTTGGGAAAAACAACCCGAAAAATTGTAAATTTTTCGTATCCGAATTATAAAATTTTGTGCGACTCCAATTAAGCCACGTATTTTTAGAGACTTGAACTTCCGTCGCTGAATTACGGTAATTTATTCTAATTCAGATTAATTTTTTGTCAACCATGCCGAAAAAAGTAATAAAATATTTTTGCGCTGTTTCAGAGTGTGAAAAGAGCGATTCTCCTAAAACAGTTTTATCGAGCGAAACGTTTTACTTTCCGTATATTTTTTCCCCTTTTATTGTGGAACATGCATAATACTTTTCGTGCAAAGATAATTTTGCACAAATCCGAAAATATCATATACGTTTTGCATGACTTCTTTTCCGAATTTTTGTTCTTTATTGCGTGTGCTGGGAAGGCACATTTGGTACATTTGCGTGAGTATATGTTATTAACATGCGTTACCATATAAATGATTATACATTCCGTCACGATTGATCAGCTTTGAAGAGAACATCTATAGTCATTTATATAGACTGGGACTCAGTGTTCCCTAACTTTTTGGGCCAGCAAATTTCCCAAACCCTTTGTGCAGACCAACAGAGTTTCATTAAATTTTTGCTGACTCAAAACAGTTTTGCTTGAAAGACTTTATGACAGGGATTAAAGATTTTCTGCTCTTTTCCAAAAATTAAAAACCAATGAAGCAGCAATAATGGAATGTCATCAGAAAATTAGAAAGGTAGGCTTGAGGAAAGGTTTCTCAAAAATAAAAAAAATTAAAATAATTTATTTCAGCAGGTACAAATTTCTCTGAAGTGTTGTTAGAAGGAAAGCCAGTTTTTATTTTTTCATCAGATAATTTCAACCGCCATATTATCTGTCCAAAAATTAAAATGAAGATAACAGACTTTGTTGATATCTTTAATAAATTTTTATGCTGCAAAAAAATGTCCCTCAGATCGACTGGAGAAAAAAAAAAATTCCACGGGTTGCGGGGTAGGGTAACGTACTGGATCGACTTGGTAATGTACATGTTTCGTTTTTGTTTTGTATTATTGCATACCTGGAATCTCGTCGACAGCTTCATTGCAATGTCTTCCAGCAGGATTGGCAGAAGGATTCGGGATCATCTCCACCGTGCTTTTGCCGAATAAGCTGATCTCGAATTCAATCATCTGCCGGAAGAAGCCCACGTTGGGTCGGATCTCCTTCCTGCAGCTCTTGACTCGCTGATACGCCTGTTTCAGGGTCAGGTTTTGATACTTCATCAAGTATACCATGCAGATGGTGGCAGACCGACTGATCCCTGCAAAGCAGTGCACCAGGGTTCTCCGGTTTTTCTTCTTCGAGGACTCGATCTTGTCAGCTAGAGAGTCGAAATGCAGGGAAAGACCCGCGGTTGGTGTGTCGAGGACATCGACTATCTATAAAGAGCAAATTGTATTTCATCAGGTCAGCATACTTTATTGATACCTGATGAGTGGGGAGCTATTTTTGCTGTGACCCCACAGTAAGTGCACACCAGGGTCATGACTGGTGCATATGGGATATTCTGGGGTTACAAGTGTGCACTCCTGTAGAGGAAATTTTGCAACCATTTCAGAGTTACACTTGGTGCACAAATGTGAAATAACAGGAGCATCACACAAATGCACCAACTGTAACCTTGGTGTAACTTATTTGTTCACAAATGTGACCAAATACTGTAACAGGAACGTCACACAAATGCACCAACTGTAACCTTGGTGTAACTTATTTGTTCACAAATGTGACCCTGAGTAATCCTGGTGTGAACACAGAACTGGTGCACATTAGGGATATGCATGTGCAACAGAAGAACTTTGGTATACTGTACTTCAGGTGCACAGCAGGGTCACTGTGTAGAATTACAAACAAATCTGCATTGTGCACCAATTTCCCCACTCGGGTAATATATCTACATATGAAGAGACCCTTTCTGAAATCATAGAGGATCAAGATAAACTTTTGGCCTAACATGATTTCTCATCAAAGACTCTCTCTAAATTGTTCATTCAACTAAGCCTTATCTGGAAACAGGCTGAAGATATTGCGCTTTAACCCTTGGGCAGCAAAGTTGGACTATTTTTGCAAAATTTTGTTGCACCTCAGGGAAGAAAAGAAAAAAATGACAACAGCGAGTTCAGGAAAAAGTCAGGAAAAATCCCAAGGTTTTTTTCTTTTTGCGCAGAAAAATTTTGCAGGAAAATAAAAAATGGTATGTTATGCAACAGGCTTTTTGCGGATTAATCCTGACTTTGCCTCAGCCCACCTGGAAGGGCTTTTCTGACCTTCAGAAAACTTAAAACGCCCCAGCAGATGAAAATAATCCAACTTTTGCCAGCAATGGAAAATAACCCTCTGCCATCCAAGGGTTAAATTTGGTTCAGCAACTGCTGCAATTGCTATAATTCTGCCTTATGCTGCAATTCTTGTTATTGATATTTTGTTTTCAATGTCAGGAAAAAAAAAGGGGGCAGACGCATACACATCAGTTGCGCAGTTGTACATTGTGGAATGTATTTTCTTTTATTTTGGTATTTTTCTTCTTGATTGGTAAAAAATGTGTCTCCTATTCTGAATAATAGATTGAATGCATTTGAATGGATTTGGGTTGGGTGGGGAGGGGGTTTGGATGTGGGAATGTTGTTGATTGAACTTTGTGAACACTAAAAAGCGGAAAATAAAGCTTTCTGTTTGTTCATTCATCGCCATATACTGTATAAATTAATTGCCACAAAAAACATAAAAAATGTGCAGCGGTACATGAAAATGGGGAAAACCACTGGGATGTCTGCCAGAAAGTGTTTTTCCTGGTTCAAAAAATGCATTGCAACAAAAACTTCATTTTTGGATTTTCTCAAAGTTTCCAAAATATTTGTAATTTGAATTCTAAGATATACGGTACTTTTGCCACATGATATTTGGTCAATGACAATGTTTCTAATATTGCCAAACACAAATATTGATACTTCTCCATTATTTTATACATTACCATAAATATACTTTATTGTTTCACACATTTACATGTTTCCTAATAAGTGAAGCTTAAGGTCTTCACTAAACGTCGTATTCTGATGCGGAAAAGCATGATGTAGGATTATTATTGAGTACAACATTTTTTGTATGATATATATGCAAGTATAAAGTCGGTGAATACACAATTTTTTTTTTTCCTGGATTAAAAATTTATTCTACAGGATATTGATGAAAAACGCTGTGCAAAATATATTCCGGGTCGTTG